ATATTATATACTTCTCACTAATTACTCCAGCATGCGTATCATTAATTGGAGTGTTTGTTAAAAGCTTTTTTTCTTTTGAGGTAAAATTTTCATAAAATTAGATGCATAAATTTTAAGTGTACAATGAGTTTTGGCAAATACATGACCTGAGTACTCCATGCTTGCATCAAGAACAAAAAAACTTTCCCATTCAATCCCACCATCTAATCCCCAAGGCAACCCCTCTTCTCTTTTTTTCTACCATAGTTTTAACTCTTCTAAAACTACATAAAAATGAAGTCATACAATATATACTCTTTTTTTGTAAGGTTTCCTTCACTCAGCATAATTTTCCTTGAGATGGTTACAGGTTGTTGCATATATTAGAATTTTGCTTCTATTTATTGCTGAATAGTATTCCACTGTATGAATATATCATGTTTGTTTATCTGGTCTCTAAACACCTGGGTTGTTTCTTGTTCTTGACTATTATGAATAAAGCTGCTCCAAACAATCTTATACTAATCTTTATGTGGATATATGTGTTTATTTCTTATTAATAAATATACAGGAGTAGAATTTCTGGACCATAGGGTACACATTTTTAGTTTTATAAGGAGCTGTCATATAGTTTCCTCTGTTTTTTTTTTTGGTACTGGGGATTGAACTCAGGGGCGCTTAACCACTGAGCCACACAACATCAACCCCCCCTTTATATATATATATAATTTTTAAGTCATAGTTGGGCACAATACCTTTATTTTATTTATTTATTTTTATGTGGTGCCGAAGATTGAACCCAGTGTCTTGCAGGTGATAGGCAAGTACTCTACCGCTGAGCCACAACCCCAGCGCTTCCCCCCTCCCCCCAGGATCTTGACAGACAGGATCTTGCTGAGTTAACTTAGGGCCTCGCTAGCTTTGAACTCGGGATCCTCCTGCCTCAGGCTCCTGAGTTGCAGGGATTACAGGAGTGTACCACCATGCCTGGCTCCTCTGTTCTTTTAATGTGTTTCCATCATTCTTTTTTTTTTTTTTCCATGTTTTAATTGGTGCCTTATAGTTGTACATACTTGTGGGATTTGTTGTTATGTATTTGTACATGTACACAATGTAACAGTATACATTTGCCAATATTGTTTCCATCATTCTTAACACACTACCTTGATTTCTACTATACTGACATCTTCTAGATCCCTCTTATACTGAGGGATAATCCATTTCCTCAGAAAATCCTGGTTTCTTTTAATGGGAAGTAGTATTTAAAAGCCAAAATCTGAATTCTACATATGCTCATTGTTCAGAAGTCTCTGCTCCCACGTTTCTTAGTGAACAGAGGGAGGGGATTTGTTTGTATGTGTGTTTGCACATGCACATGCATGTATGTACAAAAACATTCATACCTGTGCTTCTATTTCATCTATTAATATTAAAAATCATGAGTTCATACCAATATCTCCAAGTCTAATCTAACACAACAGGATTCATTCTAGTTTTCTCCCTTTCCATTTTTGAAGCTCCCTACTTTGGCTCATGTTATCCTGGGTATATTTATTTATTTGGCCCATCAGTCTATCAGTTCTACATGGAACGAATCTTCAATCACTGCTGCTGTCCTCTCTCCTGCTCTTATGTCCTTGTATATTTGAAATCATTTTAAAAATATTTTTAAAATTGTAGATGGACACAATATCTTTATTTGTTTATTTTTTTGTGGTGCTGAGGATCGAATTCAGTGTCTCACAGGTGCTAGCAAGCACTCTACCACTGAGCTACAACCCCAGCCCTTTATGTCTTCTTTCTTACATCACTTAAGGACACTATACTACACTACCCTTCCCTCATGCTTCACTTGGGGTGTTGACATTCCACATGAGATTCCCTTCTCCAAGTGGTGATCTTGGAATGTGGATATTCCTTAGATTCTGATGCTGTATGACAAGGCAGTTTTCAAACCTTCCTCAGTCCATTTAGTGTATTCAGATTCTGGCTCCCAATGCTGGACTTGGGCCAGTTCTGCATGTTGGACTTCTCTTCCACACTGACATCTGCTTCATCCTGTTTAGATTATGATTTCCCCAGGCCAAGCTGTCTGTAAGATATGGAAAAATTATAAACCCCAAAATAGTGTGGCCTGGGAAGAGGGAGTGAGGAAGAAGGCAACACACTGATAACAAGGAGTTCCCAGTTACAGGACAATCCCTGGGAAGGAAGCAAATATCATCCAGTGTTAAGACAATCCCTGGGAAGGAGATATCTATCAAGCCTAAAATGGCAGTCTCTGGGGAGAAGCCAAAGCATTGATCCTTCCCCAAATAAATCCTTTCCTAGTGACAGTACAATGGGACCCTGAAGGGAAAGAGATAAGTACTGAATGCTGACCCCAGACCTTCTATTCTTCCCCAAGTAAAAATATTGCCCAGTGAAAGCAAATTTCAAATTCTAAAACAACTTGTTCCCTGAGTGCCTGAACTGACACACTTTGTCAATAATTAAGTCATTTCTCAGTGTAACATATATAAGCACAGATTCCTCCTTGGGCCTGTGGCTCACATTCCATCAGGAAAGAGGGTCCACCAAATGCATGATTCCACTGCTGAATAAAGGCTTTGCTGATCTGTGAAATTTGCACCCAGTGGCTTGGTCATTTTATATTAACACTGTTCCCTCTATTTGCATGTCCTTTTCATTCTGGTCAGGATTAAACATCCACATGGGGCTTTGGTTCCCCAACCTAAACCACCTCTCTGTTGAACTATCCTCTTCACCCACATTGGTTGTAAGTTGCCCTTCCATATGCATGCCTTCTGCACCCTGCTCACACTCTGACAATACATGCTAAGCCACCTCTGCACAGATGACCTCCTCAACACATTTGGACTCCAATACCCTGACCTGCTTCTTGACCAGGAGGGGTTACTTACCTTGCTCTGGCCCACCAGTGGCTTTAGAACCAAAATGCTCAAGAAAAGAAAGGAATATAATAATAATAATAATAATAATAATAATAATAATAATAATAATAAGGAGGAGGAGGAGGAGGAGGAGGAGGAGACCATAAAGCACTTTAAGCCTAATAGGAGGCTGTCACTTAGGATCCTTTGGGTTCAAATAATAGAAAGTACAATCCAAAACACTTAAGAAAAAAAGAAATTTAATCAAACTATGTTATTTGCATGTATGAACATGGCATAAAGAATCCCAAAATAGTATAATTATAATGCATCAATGAAAAAAAGAAATTTGTTCATGCAATGGTAAAGTTCAGAACTACTTCAGAACACAACTAGGTTTGGGAGTTCAAATAATGACATTAGGTTAGGTATCTGGTTCTTTCTCTTTCTCTTGTTTTCAGCCCAGCCCCTGCTCTCTTCTGTTTTATCTCCATTGTCATAAAACCTCTCCATTTGTGGTGACCAGGTCCATCCTCACATATTCATTCAAACTCAGTAGAAATAAAATAGAAAGTGTCCTCTTCCTAATGATTCTGCATAAATCTTGTACTAAATCAACCACCCAGGCATAAGTCTAAGATGCATGCTCAATCTGTAGAACTATGAGTAGAATCCAATTCAAACACATAAACTGAGATGGGAGAGGAGTGGTGGCAAAACTGGAGAGAACTACCAAGACAAAGATGAGTGGAAGCTAAAAAACAAAAATCAATGAGTGTCCAACTACAGAAATGAGAAGCTCACTGCATATGATAAAATGACTATAAGTTCCCAGTAGTATTTGATAATTGTCAAATAAATGACATAGAATAAATGCTATTGTCTTTCATGGGAAGGAGAAATCACAGTAGAAGACTTTACAAGGAAGGAGAGACTTAGGACTATACTTTAAAGGGAAGGGGTAGCTACCTTATAATGTTAACTTATAAGAAATGTCAAAAAAATTTGCAAACACAAACCAGAAGACATGTATAAAAATGCTCAAAGTGCTAGTACCAAGAACAAAATATTGAAAACAACCTAAACATCTATCTCCAGGAGAATAAATAATCAATGATAATACACTCATGTGATGGCGTACAATGATGAAAATAAATGAATCACAGCTACAGGAACACGTAGATGGGTACAGTTGCATAATGTTGGATAAAAAAGCAAGTCCCAGAAAACTGCATATGACTTGATAACCTCTTTCTAAAGTTTAAAAAGTCAAACCTAAACCACATATTGTTTAGAAGTATTCATGTAACACATATATTATTGTATAACTCTAACACTATTGGAAAAACAAAAGGGAAGGGAAAGATAAAACCAAATTTCGGGTTGGTAACGGTGGAGGGAGAGGATGGAATAGGGCAGAACAGAGTGGAAAATGTAAGTAATTGGTCATATTCAAGTTTGATAGTAGATTCATCATTGCACAATTAAAAAAATTAAAGAGTATGGATACAGAAGTATGCAAAGCATGGTTAGGGACCATGAATAGAATGAAGGTACTAGAGCAAATAACTACTATATGGTATTAGGAGCAGATTTGATTGGAAATAGATTAAATTGAAATATGGCAGGACTTTGAACCAGAGAATTGAATAATGCATACTCCATTTTAATTTAATTTTACAAACGTATATTGAGTATTTTAGTACTGACCAGTCAATTATAAAGTGATAAAAGCTGGTGTGGGGGTACGAAAATAGAAATGAAAGGAGTGGCCACAAGATACATTGCCAAAGATAAAATTATTATAATTTTAATAATTTTAATGGATAAAATTAAGCTGTTTATTGTAAATGTAGGGAGGAATCAAAGTAGACTCTGGGAGTTTTCCAGCTAAGGAGTAGAATTAAAACAAACCAAAACCAAGAGAAGATGATATAGATGTCTTAGTAAATTTAGTATAGGAAATACCTGAGAAATATTCCTCTGATCTCAGAGATGCCTTTGATATACTTGATTTTCCACAGAGAGTAGTTGTTAAGGGCTTGGGCTTGAAGAGGAGAAAGAAAATTTTCCCAGTAGATGAATGCACTGTTGATTAGTTCTTGGTTTTGTGTTTGTGTCTTTTAGCTAAACTACACTTCCAGTTTCCAAAGTCATACCATGGACATGAAGTAAAGTTGTCTTCAAAACAATTTCAGAAATACATAGAATTAGTAGTATCTGAACTCAGGGGCAATGAAGATCAAGTTATGGAAAGTATTGTGGAATTTCTGATGAATTCTTTAAAGAGGAGCCATATTGAGGGTCTTAGGAATTGTGCAAGACGAAAATGGCTGCACCAAATCCAACATGCTGCAGAGACAAGTGGAGTGTCTGTGGAGCCAGTATACACTGAGACCTTTAAGACCCTCACCCAGGTATGTTTTCTTTTTTTATATGTATTTATTTTTATTTGTTCTAATCAGTTATTCATAACAGTAGAATGCATTCTGACACATCATACATAACTGGAGTATAACCTCTCATTCTTCTGGGTGTACATGATGTACAGTTACACAGGTCGTAATCATATATGCAACATAGGGTAATAACGTCCTATTCATTCTACTATCGTTTCTACCCCTGTACCCCTCCCTGTCCTTCACTCCCCTCTATCTAATTCCAGGTATGTTTTCTAAAATGATCTAAAAGAGAAAAAATTTCTGAGCTGGGCACAGTGGTGCATGCCTGTAATCCCAGTGATTTGCGAGGCCGAGGCAGGAGGATTGCAAGTTCAAGGCCAGCCTGGGCAACTTAGCAAGACCCTGTCTCAAAATGTAAAAAGAAAGGGGGGGGGGATGTGCTCAGTGGTAGAGTACCCTTGTGTCCCATCCCTAGTACTACAAAAAAGAAAAAAAAAAAGGAAGGGAGGGGAAAAGAATTTTCTCACAGTGGGTGATATCCAATGGTTGCGTGGAAGGAGCACTTGATTCTAATACATTACAAATGACCCAAAGCCCAGATGAGATGCCACTGAGATTATGGGTGGTGGGTAAGAAAGAAGCAGAGAAAAAAAGATGTAAAGAAAAGATATGAAAAAGAAGTCTTGGGATTTCTAATTTCATTTGTGCTAAAAGTCTAATAAATAAGCCAAGAATAGACAATGGACTGATACTGAAAAAAAACACCAGAAAAGAGATGTGCAAACAGTTCAAGCTATATTTTCCTTACATGATGTCCAGGGAACTATATATCCATAAAAAAAAGAACTATTTAAGCCATAAACTCATCATAAAGTAGATTCCAACATTACACAATATTTCATAGTACTGCCTAGCAGCAAACTGAGACTATTAGAATCCTGTCACTTAAAACACATGGCCCTGTAGAACCATTGCCCACAGCCTTGCACCTCTTAAGAAACTCCCAGATTGCTACTTTTCTTAAGCAGAAACATCACAGCTATTTTTTACGTATATCCCAGATTCCAGTGATACAGGAGACCTGGGCCAGTCATCATCATCATTTTATACATTTCACACACACACACACACACACACACACACACACACACAATTGGAATCATCTCCTGAATGGCTGAATTTTCCCATGTTGTTGGCAATGGTGAAATTAGGACTAGGAATCCACTCAAGAAAAGGAGGCATTGCTCCAACTTGCTTTAGAGATCTGTGTTACCCTAAGAAAAATCTTATTTTATATTTGTTAATTACTCCACATAACTTATATGTGGAAAAAAGGAATAAAAGCAGAAGAAAAAGAAAGTATGAAACACAAACATAAATAAATAGAAGAGACAAATATCAAGGAAAGTGTCTCTTATGTCCCCACTTTATGAATATATTCAATGTGTGTTATCACATAATACTGTTAATAATTTAATTTTTTATATAGAGATTTTTAATTATTTTAATTAGAAATAGTAAATGCAGAAAGTCTGAACCCTCAGGCTCCAAGAAACCTTTTCCTGAAATGGCATCAAATATGTAAATTGTGTTAATAATTCCTTGGAAGCATTTTTTTTCAATTTCACATATTTAGATGGCCAAGAGATATGAATGAAATGAAGGCATCTTCTTGCTGCAGCTCTCTAAAACCAGTACTTTTAACTGAAGCCCAGAAAATATGACAATAGTTCGAAAGGATTTAAGTTTTAAACCTTTAATTTGATTAGACTTGAGAGGTTTGGTTTTGCTTTGATTTTGTTTTCAGTAAAGCAGTTTAGTTGGCTTTAGAAAAAAAAATCTATTCCACGCATGAAAACTCAGTTTTGGAGGTCATTTGTGGTGTCAGCCTTTTCCCCACTGCCCATGAATGATAGTACCTGCATCATGTACTCAATAAAATGAAATTATTGGTGCCATGTTCACAAACTGGGTGGTGAAGGGATTAGGGGAGTTCTGTGGCTGTTGGTAAATACATTTTCAGAAATGTTGTGCCACAGGATGCTGAAACTCATGGAAATAAGAAGATTAGTGCTCACATTTCCCTCTTAGAAGAAAATGAACTACTGCCTGATCGAGGGTCTGTTCTACTGAGAAATGTGGCTTGTACCCTAGATGATGCTTCATTCGTACTAAACAGAGTACTTTACCGGGACATGGAAGGAATCAGGTGAGAACTCCTTGAAGTGATTGGTTTTATCTTCCTAAACAACAACAACAACAAACTAGCACCTCCAAATCCTAGTGAGTTGCTCCAGAGAGAAATGTCTCAAGTTACCAGGCTTCTAGAGTGGGAACTGATGTTTCCAGTTTTTTTTTTAAATATTTTTTTAATTGTTGATAGACCTTTATTTTATTTATTAACATGTGGTGCTGAGAATCGAACCCAGTGCCTCACACATGCCAGACAAGTGTGCTACCGCTGAGCCCCAGCCCCAGCCCCTAATGTTTCCAGTTTTTAATGGTTTTAGTTGATTAATTCTAGAGCTTACTCTTTGGCAATGATTCCCCACCTAGGGACTCTGTTTCACGGTATCAGCTCAATAAATTATGTCTCCTTAATTCAGTTTATATATATTTTCTCTGGCAAGATCTAAGATTGTCTTTTAAGTCCTTCCCTCAAATCAGACCCTCTAAACTGGTAATCTTATTTGAATCCAGTGCCCTTACATATAAATGCCATAATTGTGGATAGAGAATTGATCTAGTTACCTCAGTGATTTACTAAATCCTCCTCCTGTCTTATTCCTATCTTGATGTCCCTTTTCTTAAGCTTTTCAGTAGTGGATGAAGGGAAGCCAGTCCATGTCCCCCAAGTACAGTACCATGGGAACATCATCTTCTGGAACCATTCCCGCAATAAGAATGATCGAAATGGGTCATTACTGGCTCTGCCTCTGCATGATGCATATATGAGGATCTTTGGGGTCCTGGCAGTTGACACACTTAGAGATCCCCACAAAATAAACATCTTCTTACCTCATGAGATCAGATTCTATCAGGTAAGTCATAGAAGTCTTCAAGAGCAGTGGTAGGATTGCCTCTCCTATATTTAAAAAGGCCTCTTGTTTTATACTTCTTAAAAAGTGAAACCTGAAAATCTTTACTAGAGTAAAGTCTTGTTAATAAACAATATTATCATGCTTGCTCCTATTCCCTATATTTGTCAGACTTTGGAAAGGTCCCCCATTACTTATAAAAGGACTCTCAGTCTCAGTTGTACATCTATGCTTCAGCCTTTTAGGGACTATATGCATTAATCATAGGAATAGAGTTTGATGCTGTGGAACAGAAATCCAACAATTAAATCACTGACTAAGACCCCATAAAATAGGAATGAAACTTTGAAAGGAGTATATTTGTGTTTTATTAACTAATCCTTTGTTCTTTCTACAAAATGTGCTAAATATGATATGCATCCAAATAGCTCTTGATTTCAGTGTTACAATTTTTGAGGACAAAGAATAAAGAAAATATTTCTTAAATATTCATGTTTTCAAGTTAGACCACACACACACACACACACACACACACACAAAGTCATTTTTAAGACAATGGAATAACTGGAGCATACTACAGCATTTTAAAAAAATATTTATTTTTTTAGTTATAGGTAGACACTATATATTATATGTATGTATGTGTATGTGTATATTTTATATATATATATATAGATATATATGGGGTTGCATGGGGATTGAACCCAGGGCCTTGTGCAAGTGAGGCTAGAAATCTTTTTTTTTTTTTTTTTTTGCTGGTGGTAGTGGGGATTGAACCCAGTGCCTCGTGCATGCTAGGCAAACACTCTACCACTGTGGTGCTGAGGATCAAACCCAGAAACTCACACATGCCAGGCGAGCGCTCTGCCTCTGAGCCATAACCGCAGCCCTCTAAAGCATTTTGATATAATTTTAGGGATAGAAATTGCAATAAAGGAAAATTCAAATCCTTTATGGAGGCAAGGACCGTAGAATGTAGCAGCAAGTCAGGAACTTACTTTGCCCTTGTCATTTGTTGCCCTGTAAGCCCTTGGCTCTCTGTTCATTTACCATTATTTTTCATTCTCTCTTTCCACTTTATGAGGTGGATAACTGAAGAAAGTGGTAGAATTTTTTTTCTCTGGACATCTTTTTTAATAATAAGATTCATTCTCATCTGACATGAGAATGACATGGAGGATTGTGAAGTTATCAGTAGGTGAGCCATATTATTACTGAACATGTACAAATGAATTACAAATTATAAGTAGACTCTCTAGCCCTTGGAGATTAAGGGTCCTGGGTTACTTTTAGATGTCTTAAGTCCTAACTTGTAAATGCATATAACTTTGAAGAATTTGTGATTCTTAAGAGTTTTCTACAACAACAAGACCACAGATGGATTTGGTAGATTTCCCTCCCTTCTCTGTGGATCAAAGTCTCTTTATACCTATAGGAAAACGTCATGTAGCATATTGCAAACCCTGGAACCAAGCATATCCTACACTGCTGCTTTGATGGCAATAGGCATGTGCAAACATTAGTATTGGCATCGGGTCAGGACAGTTCCTACCCATCTGCCCAGGGCTAGAATCTTGTCTTTTAAATATTTTTTTTTTCTTAATTTAGAGTCTTCTGACTCTGTTCTCCACCAGTACATATCATAAATTTCACTGGGTAATTATCAGAAAGCAAAGCATAAAATATTAAGTAGGTCTCTCTTTATACTGTGTGTGTGTGTTTGTGTGTGTGTGTGTGTGTGTGTGTGTGATGTTGGTAATCAGACTAAGGGCCTCATGCATGCTAGGCAAGTGCTCTACCACTGAACTAACATCTCCAGCCCATACATCTTTGATTTCTTTGTGATCCTTTTTTTTTATAAGTAGAATCAGGAGCACTACCTTTGGAGAACTGATGAATAATTTGTAGAAAGTAGATTATCATTAATTTAAGATAATCAAATTGATGCATTAATAATTATTTATTTTACTCTTTTAAAAAAGAAAAGGTCATTTGAATTTTCTATCTTTCAGGGTGTTGCCAATGTCTTTAGCACTGCCTACCACTACGTTCACAGCCGGGAACATATCCTTCATATTGTGATCACTGGCATTGGCTGGCTCTTCAATGTCACATCCAATATCATCTCCATCACTACATACTTTGTTGAGCCTAGCCCACACCAGGTAGGCAAGCCTTGGCAGTGTTAGACCCCTTTGATGTAACAGAGTAGATGTTGATGTTTTACTAATATCTAAAAACCATATTAGTCAGCCATTAAGACTAACTAAAGTTGTTTCTTATGACTCCAACTCAAGACCCTTGGTTATGAGTGTCAGAAATCCATCTCAAACTGCCTTGGACAAAAGAGAGAATTGACTGTGACCCAAATGAAGAAAAGGTAGGCATCAAGGTGGCTTCCAGCATGACCAGACCCAGGTCATTCAATAGCATTAGGGCTCAATCATGTTCTTTATCTTTCCACTTCTCACATTTGCTTCCCTCTGCATGTTAGCTTTGTCATTCTGGAAAAAGATGGGCTTTCTCCATAAGGCAAGTCAGATGCCTAGTAAAGCATCTAGTAAAAAACTCCAATTTGGAAAACCCAAGAAAGAAAACTTTTTGACTCATCCTGAGATATGTCCTGGTGGCCAAATAGGCAATATCCACTAGAATCGTGGAGATATATACTGGAACTGGGGATTGAATCCAGAGGTGCTTTATACTGAGCTACATTCCCCACCTATAATATGATGAATTCTTGATGTTTGCTTTACATTTTTACAGTTAACATAAGGATTTTTTTATATGATGAAAATGAATGGAAAGGTATCTTCCTTTCAAAAAAGCTAAATGATTCTGCAGTGTGCCTGATCACGTGGTGGCCTCCTCTTGATTGTCTCCCAGTTCTTTGCCTGGCCTACCACAGACATCGTCCTTCCCTCCTGGCTTCTTTTTTTCCTTTCCTTCCTACCAGGTCTGGGCTTCCTCCCTCAGTGGCTAGGGCAAACTAATGAAGCCTTGGCCATAGAAAAGTAGAATCACATAGCTCTTGGTAGGGTAGCCATGCCATGAGGTGGAGAATACCTCATTGTTGGAACTGCTCTTGGGAGGGGGATGATTTGGAGTGGAAGTGGGAGCCTTGAAGTGTCCTTGGGTCTGGAGTAGTCTATCCCATCTTATGGGCTACTTCCCCAGTGAGGCCAAAGTGTGTGGAGGTCTGGGGAGGATTCAGGATTACCTATTCAGGACCTTAAGGAAAATAATATGTAGGTACCATGGAAAAGGCCAAAATGGCCCAGAGCAATCATCAAGAAACTTGGCTTCCGTGGTGTATAATCTCAGAATTGTGACAACAAGGACAAAGTCTCAAAGGTCATGGTATATCCCCAGGGCTATTTCATGGTAACAGAGAAGATCATGTTGAAAGGTGAGGTGAGAGGAGGTCCACCAGCAATCAGGGTTTGAGTGAAGTCACAGCAGGGCAGAGACCAGATCAGCCTATCTAAGGCTCTAGTTAGGATTTTCTCCTAGATACAAGATGCTATGGTTAGATTTTGATGTTAAAAATAGCTCAGAGCTGCCAGGTATGGAGGCATGCACACCTGCAGCCCCAGAAACTTGTGAGACTGAGGCAGGAAAATTGAAGATTCCAGGCCAACCTCAACAATTTAGCAAGGCTCTAAGTGACTTAAGTGAGATAAATAAAAAATAAAAATGATTCAGTGATAAAGTGCCCATAGATTTAATCCCCAGTACAAAAAAACAAAAAACAAAAAACTGAGTGTTCCCAGGCAGGGTGGTACACACCTACGATCCCATCTACTCAGGAGACTGAGGCAGAGAGATCACAGATTTTAGACCAACGTGGGCAATTTAGAGAAACCCAGTCTCAAAAGAAAGAGTAAATAAATAAAAAGGGCTGAGGATGTATCTCATGGTAGAGCACTTGCCTAGTATGCTTGAAGCCCTGGCTTCAATCCCCAGAGCTGCAAAATAAGTAAATAAAATTAAGCTATTAATGATGAACTGGGGGGAAATTGCCACCTATTTGACAAAGAAATAACAGTTACATGTGAATCTATGGAGGTTTGGGGTTGTTTGTTTATTTGTTTGTTTTGCAGTGCTGGGGATCAAACCCATAATAGGCTAGGTAAGTGTTGTACCCCCACTCCAGCCCCTTTAATGAGAGTTGTTTGTTTAATTTAAAAGAAGATTCTGTATTACTCAGCACTAAAAAAGAATAAGATCATGGCATTTTCAGGGAAATGGATGGCATTAGAGAAGATTATGCTAAGTGAAGTTAGCCAATCCCAAAAAAACAAATGCCGAATGCTTTCTCTGATATAAGAGGGGTGACTCAAAGTGAGGTAGGGAGGGAGAGCATGGGAGGAAAATTACCTCTAGACAGGGAATAGGGGTGGGAGGGAAAAGGAGGGAGAAGGGGAATAGCTAGGATGGTGGAAGGAGAGGGTCATCGTTATACAAAAAACATGTTTGAAGATGTGAATTTGGTGTCAACATACCTTATATACAAACAGAGATATGATAAATGGTGGTATAAAGGTGTATTAAGAATTTTATGCAAAAAAGAGAGCTTATGTATAATGGCATAATTTGGTGTGAACATACTTTATATACATAGTTACAAAAAATTGTGCTGTGAATGAATAATTATGAATGTAATGCACTCCACTATTGTCATGTATGTAAGAAATAAATTTTAAAAAAAAGAAAGAAGGAAAGAAAAAGAGGATTCTTGGTATATTAGTGCAGACCTGTAATCTCAGGAGGCTGAAGCAGGAGGATCACAAGTTCCTGTTGTGGAGGGAGGTGAGGCTTAATGAAAGGTGTTTAGGTCATGATTCTCCACCCTCATAAATGGATTAATTCTGATTATTAAAGGACTTGGAGGCTGCAAGTTTGATCTCTAGCCCTCTCTCACCCTAAGCCTTCCATCAGAAGAAGAGCTTAACCAAATGCTGACACCTTGATACTGGATGTCAACCTCCAAAACTATAAAAAATAAAATTCTCTTCTTTATAAATTATCCAGTCTGGGATATTCTGTTTTGGCAGTGCAAATCAAACAAAGACACTAAGTATAATGTAGAAAACATTTTTCATCTAGAGTTTGGTAGAACATTTGAGGTCAGGGAGTGTGGAATCAAGAAAAAGTTTCACTTCACAAAGCTGTTGTTCATCTTCTAAGAACAATTCAGCATACAGCCACTATGGATCCCCTTATTAGAGTTTCTCTTTTATTCCAAGAGTTATTTTTTTATTTTATTTTATTTTTTTAAAGAGAGAGAGAATTTTAATATTTATTTTTTAGTTATCGGCGGACACAACATCTTTGTTTGTATGTGGTGCTGAGGATCCAACCCGGGCCGCACGCATGCCAGGCGAGCGCACTACCGCTTGAGCCACATCCCCAGCCCCCAAGAGTTATTTTTTAAAGGGGGCATGTAAGGGGCTGAATAATAAATAAAATGTCACTGCCCTTAATGCTAGAGGTCATCTACAGTTTCCTAATTTTTCTCCATTTATTGGTCCCCAAAAGCTTTAAAGAGAATATGAGGTCTAATTACTACTCTAATGAAATCTCTTCCTTTTTTCAAGGATTCAGACTATGTTTTACGCAATATGATGGTTACAGGGAAGCTGGGTCTAACAGAAATCCACACAAATCCCCCTATTACCTTCAGGAAAACATGTGTCTTCAGGTATGAAATGTGTCTGTTTTCTTTATTGCCAGAACACAATCTAGTGGTATGATAGTAGATCTGAAAGACATAGCTTCTGCCCTTTATTAGTGCATATTCAGTCCTCATTATTATAAAATTATAACTCTTTATTATTACATTCATTATTTATTATTTTAAAATTTACATACACCAAAACTCATTTGTTTTGTTTACAGTTCTTCAAGTTTTAATAATGTACATATTCTTATAATAATTAGCACAAATAGGATACAGAACAACTCTAACACTCCTAAATCAGTCTTTCAACCCATTCCTAAACCTGGAAACCACTGATCTATTCTCCATCAGTTGGCTTTTAAACGAAAACTTTTTTAGAACATTTGACTCCCTGGGACATAGTAACTCCTTTTCTATCAACTGCTTTTTAAAACAGATTTCGTTGGTATTCCAGATTAAAATTGCAAAATTGTGTATTTTAAAGCAGGACAGTATTTTATTTTCTGATTGTCTTATAAGTACAGAATTCAACAAAAAATGATTATGAATAATAACTGTATCCATTATCCCCCATGATTATGAATAATCCCTCCATATCACTTATTAGAGCTCATCTGTTAATGTTAGCTAGATTGTGAATGTATATTTTTTAATGTGTATTTTTTTATTCAAAGAAAACAGGAAGAAGGAAAGGGAAGAGAGGGAAAGTTAGAAAATTAGATAGGTCCCCGGTTGTACATTACTTAGAATGACTGTCACCTATGGAAGGGAAGGAACATTATTCATCTGTACAGATACAAAACAGATCTTAACTGAGAACACATGTATTACAAAAGAGACTGACTGCATTAACCCATCTCAGACTAGTAGGCTAATTTGATATTTAAATACATGTTAATTAAATTTTAATTTGGCCTCATGCCAGAATGTTCATTTAGTCTCAAGCTTTTTTCCACATGGTTATTCCTATGTTAGTCAAGCATTTTGCTAGATTCCTTTTAACACCTAGACTCATATTCTGGATTCTGTGTAGAACTCAGAGCATATGCCTTTGGAGGAATGCTATTGACCTACAGCCTTTCTTAATATGCCTGGAAAGTTTGATAGATGCATCGTTACTGTGGTCTTCACAAATATAAAAGGTGATGGCTTAATAGTAGCAAGGAATGGGAATAGCAGAAGGATTAATTTTTTTCTTTCTTATTTATTTATTTATCTATCTATTTATTGGTATTGGCAATTGAACTCAGGGGCACTCAACCAGTGAACCACATCCCCAGCCCAATTTTGTATTTTTATTTAGAGACAGGGCCTCACTGAGTTGCTTAGTGCCTCGCTGAATTGCTGGGGCTGGCCTTGAACTCGCAATACTCCTATCTCAGCCTTTCGAGCTGCTGGGATTAGAGGCGTACACCACAGCACCGGGCAGAAGGACTAATCTTACCTGTCATTATTGGATTCATATTCTGAACTATTAAATGTGATTTTTGAGGCTAGACAAAGAACTAACATTTTTACAAATGATTTAAAGGAATGGAAGCCCAACATCAAATGCAGATGGGGAAAAATGTGTCTATGATTCACTAGAGAAAGAAGCAGTCACTGTATTTCCATGAAAATCTCAGTCTCTCACTGAAATAGATGCTAAAGAATACCCTGCCCAGATGCCCAATATGCCTTTTGCCAGCTTCTGTGGATACTGCTGCAGGAAGCGACACTTGACATTGTAACTTTCCCTGGAGGAGTGCCCTCCAGTGATTGGAGCACCTGCCCAGAGGTATTCTCATGAATTCTGTGAAGGGCTGAGGTTGTAGCTTAATGGTGGAGCACTTGCCTCATATGCGAAAGGCACTGGGTTCAATCCTCAGCACCACATAAAAATAAATGAATAAAATAAAGGTATTGTATCCATCTCCATCTAAAAATATTAAAAAAAAAAGTTTTGTGAAAACTCTTCCACCACAAACCGCTACCTCACCCCCAGAGCAGCTTAGAACCAATGACTGATGAGCACAAAGATGCAAGAGACCCTTCCCTTGCCTCAGGGTGGGACAAGTTCTTTACTATATTCACCTCCCAGATCTTACCCCTTTGGATCAGGCTGAGGATAGACTTCACCTGAAATCACATTGGTACTTAGCCTCTGCCACTTCCCTATGCTGCTTCCCTCAGTCCCTCATGGGTTTTACCCAAAAGCACTCCCTTGGTAAATTACTTGCATTAGCATCCTTTCACAGGTTTTGCTTCTAGGGAACCTGACCTAACATACTCATCTTTCCTTCCCGCATTCAACTAATACATATTGGCCAAGATAAGTAAACAAAACACTGTACACCCTCAGATAAGACTAATTTCCTATATGATAAAGATAATGAAGCAGATGGGGCTGGGGATATACCTCAGTTGGTAGAGTGCTTGCCTCGCATGTACAAGGCAAAAGATAATGAAGCAGAGCATCATGATGCAGAGTGTCCCGGTGCTACTACTTTAGTTAGATCAGATAATCAAGGAAGGCTTTCATGCTGAGAGGACGTTTGAGCTGAGTTGAACTGAAGGACAGAACCATGTGAAATTGAGGGATGCAGCATTCTATGCAAATGAAACAGCAACCAGGACTGGTATGGTGGCAGTGAAGTGGGTACAAGAGAGTAATTCAGTATGTTTGAGCGGAATGACGTGAATAGGCTGATTTTAATATCCTTGTACTTCTTTGGATTTAGCTTCACAGATTTCCTCTTCAAGTGTACAGACAGTTCAGAAGTTGTTCTGGCCTCTGCCCGTGGAGAAACCCATATAGTAATTCCCCTTCGTGAGAGAACAGGAGAGGCTCTGGGAGCCCTTGATGTTAACATTGGCCAGACCAGGATGTTGTTCTATCAAGAATATAAAGATCTACAGAAAATGATGAAGGTGATCCAAGCTGCCTGCTATGAAATACTAGGAGAATTCTCCGGAGAGATAAAGAAAAACATTGTCTTAGGTATTATGAAGGTCTGGATTCATGGGGGAAATCACAGGCAATCTTAAATTTGGGGGAAATCACAGGCAATGTGATGAAGGATGAAGTTTCTAAAATGAATTGTTTCAATATGTAGGTTTTTCCAGGTGAAATGAATTCCCTTATGCAGTCTTAGCCTGAAGAGTAGTGTTTATAAGTTAAAGCAAAAGGAATGGAATCACATTATCTTTGGTTAGAAGTATACAATTTTAGAACTGGAAGGACTCATAAAGGAAAGATGGAACTAGCTTTATCAAATGCCCTGTCATGTGTTGACACTTTAAATGTGTTTTTTCATTTAATCCTTACCATAACCTTATAAAGTAAATGGTGAGGACCCATTTTACAGGTGAGGGAAATGAAGTTCAAAGAAAGGAAACAATAAATTGGAAAGGCTGGATTGGGTTCTCTTTCCAAGACATTACACAGCATTATCCAATCAGAACATCTCATTTGACAGATGCAGGATCTAAAGCTCACAAAAATATATTGCCTAAGGTCCAATAGCAAGTTAGTGGCAGAGCCAAGACTAGACCCAGTTCTTGTGACTTCACACTCATTATCTGAGCATAATACTAGGTTAGAGAGGAGGGCAAGAAAGAGGCATGGAAACCTTCGGCAAGAATGAATTAGTATAACACTATGTGGGATTAAGTGGAAAGGTTGTTAGCCATTACATAGTATGTTAAGAAAAGAGAAGAAAGCCAAGTGTGGTGGCAAACACTTGTAATCCCAGCCAATTGGAAGGCTGAGGCAGAAGGATCATTTGAGCCTAGATTTAAGACCAGACTGAGAAACATAGTGAGACCCCATCATAAAAGAGGAGGAGAAGAAGAAGAAAGAAAACTCATGTCTTTGAGTGTTCACTCTGTGTAAAGAGTGAGACTGAGCATTTTTCTGTATGTTATTTCATTTAATTCCCACAGCTCACCAGGGAAATAGGATTAGCTTCATTTTCACAAAAGAGGAAAAGGATACTCAAAGAGACAATGGTACAAGTAGAGAGAAAGAATGCATTAAAACTAAGGGTCTAGGGGCTGGGATTGTGGCTCAGTGGTAGAGCACTTGCCTAGCATGTATGAAGCACTGGGTTTGATCCTCAGCAACACATATAAATAAATTAAATAAAGGTCCATTGACAAAAATATTTTTTAAAAAACTAAATGTCTAACTCTGAAACTCAAGGTTTTGCCTTTTCTCAAAGCCTCCTTCCAGGCATAATTCCATATTTCTTTTGATTTCATGTACAGAGAGACTAAGATAGTTTAAAATCATATGACATGAGCCAGGTGATGCATACCTTTAATCCCAGAGACTCAGGAGGCTGAGGCAGAAAGATCACAAGTTCAAGGCAACTTAGTGAGATCCTGTCTCAAAATAAAAAATAAAAAGATCTGGGGATATACAGTGATAGAGGACTTGCCTAGCATGCTAACATGCATGAGTCCTTGGGTTTAATCTCCAGTTCTGAAAAAAAAAATAAAATAAAATAAAACATGGGACATGGTCTTTTTCTTGAGGAAAATGATGTTTACTGAAATAGGCTTTTTTTTTTTAGTTGTAGTTGGACACAATATCTTTATTTATTTATATGTGGTGCTGAGGCTCGAACCCAGGGCTTCGCACATATTAGGCAAGTGCTCTACCGCTGAGCCACAACCCCAGCCCTGAAATAGGCTTATAATCCTAGGGAAAAGCAATGTATGGGACTCAACATCAATGTGTGATGTCATCAATGTCATTCTCTTCTTTCAGAGATGGAAAAAGTTGGGGAAGTCCAACGAGCAGGAATTATCTTCTTCCGAATCATGTTGCAGGAACTGCAGGCATGCCTCAAACTACTTAGTTCCATGGACTTTGTGACACTGTTGCTCTACGATCATAATACTCAGATAGAGACAACGTCTTCTAAAGACAGCAAGGCCAAGGAGTTGAAAGCCCACGTAAACCTAGTGCATGACATCCTGAAGGGAGTTATCTTATTCTTTCATACAGATTTGGAATCTGAACCTGCAAGTGAATCTGAATCTGAAGATTGGGATAAGGATAAACTTGTACGTTTTCTTAAAATCACTATTTTTATTGAATAATAACCTGCACAGATTTGGGTGTACAAATCATAATAACACAACTTATAAGTATACAAATGCAAGATTATTCACATAATGAACACATCCATGTAATAGATGCATCAAGAAACAGAATATGCCGGGTGCCATGGCCCACACCTGTAATCCCATCAGCTTGGGAGACTAAGGCAGGAGGATTGTGAGTTCAAAGCCAGCCCTCAGAAACTTAGTGAGACCCTAAGCAACTCAGTGAGACCCTGTCTCAAAATAAAAACTAAAAAGGGCTAGGAATGTGGCTCAGTGGTAAAGCACCCCTGGGTTCAATCCCTGATTGAAAAAAAAATGAATGAGAGAAAGAAACATAACGTTACTGACATCCCCTAAACTCTCCTTTGGATCCTTTCCCATAATCTCTACCCACCAACCCATACACCCTAGGAAAGGTAACCATGATCTTGACTTTTAACACCGTAGATTAGTTGCACCCATTTTAAATTTTTTGTAAATAGAATTATGTAAACTGGTGAACTGGGCATCGTATTTCTACTTGCTGTTGATCCCATTCCTTTTCTTTTGTTCTTTGTTCACAGTTTGTTAACAAATATTTAGTGGAGAGTATTTGTTCCTTTGATCCAACTGCTAGCCATGTGGAAGTCAATGTACAGCTCATTAATAAATATATCAAAGGTAAATTTCCTTTAATCAGTTTAAAATCTATGCCAAGAATAATAAACCATATTGTAATTAACAGTTTTTATTAGAGTAAAGCAAGTAGTTCATAAATTGAATTTTTAGGAGAAAAGTTATGACTATAAGTTTTCTAAAAGGAGGGATACTGTTTATAATCTACTATATTCCCTCCCAAAGACTGTCTATTCCACTCATATGAGAATTCAAAAGTGCATCTATCTCTCACTTATTGACTACATGTGCATTGTTCATTTAAAAAAAAAAAGCAAAGCCAGGCATCCTAACTATGTAGGAGGCTGAGGTAGGAGGGTCACTTGAATCCAGAAGACCAGCCTGGGCAACATGATAAGACTCTGTCTTAAAAAAAAAAAGAAATGAAAGAAAGAAAAGATGGGCTGGAGTTGTAGCTCAGTGGTAGAGCTCTTGCCTAAAACATGTGAGGAAAGATATATATTGTGTCCATATACAACTAAAAATTAAAAAAAGAAAATGAATAGAGGCTGCAGTGAGGACAGGAACATTTAGCCAAAAGGCTAGTTAGTATCTTTAGCTTTAATAAAGAATTGAATAAAATAATAGATCATTAGTCTATATTGAGGAAGAGAATCAGCAGGACTGCAGAGCAGCAAGACTCTCAGGTTGGAGAAGATGACAAGCTCTTTGGCCACATCTAAGTAAATGTGTAAATACATGCTGTTCCTCCACTGATATGTATTACCTCACCAGACAACTCAGGCCATGGATGTGAGTGAACCAGTCACAAATGCATGTAAAGTTTTCTTCCTCTTTGTTACTTATGAAAAGTTAATCATTAATTGGGAAAATGGCTCTGTAGAAATCACTCCCTAACCCTGTCCTTCTCCACCTCTTCCCCTTCTCCTTCTCTCTGTGTAGACTCCAGACCACATCAGAGGTTTCTGTAATGTATTTATTAGGCTCAGAGGCTCAAAACCAGAGAGATTCCTAGGAGAAGAGGAGGGAAAAGGCAATCCAGGAAGGATGACCACACTCCTCAGCCTGTGGGCATCCACAGCACAGGGGTGGTGGAGTAGTGAACCAGGTGGATGGATGTGAGGGATATCATCTAGCATGGGAAGGTGAGATGCTTCTAGCAGTTCAGGAGTGCTAGAGAATAGGAGAGAACTTGAGATTCACATAAAAATTAACATGAAATAATGTGACCATGAGTGATGTGAATCAAGTTTAGAATTCCTATTTGAAATGGTGCTTCCACTGTAATTCAATTCATTCATGGGAGCTTCTAATTTCATAGGTGTTAGATGTATAACTTCTAAGGTGCTAGTCATGGGAATCCATAACAACACCAACAAAAATGAAGGCTTAGGGACTGGGGTTGTGGTTCAGGTTTGGAGCACTCACCTAGCCCATGTGAGGCCCTGGGTTCAATCCTCAGCACCACATAAAAATAAATAAAGACATTGTGTCCAACTACAACTAAAAAAATATTTTTTAAAAAAGTTAAATGTAATAACCAGCCTCCAAGAGGACACTGCTCTTCTCATTACCTACTATTCATGCCTATGAGGAGTCTCTTCCCACTTGAATATTGTCAAAATGACACTGAGGGAGGGCTGGGATTGTGGCTCAGTGGTACAGTGCTTGCCTAGCATGTGTGAGGCACTGGGTTTGATCCTCAGCACCACATAAAAATAAATAAATATAATAAAGGTGCTCTGTCTAACTACAGCTAAAAAATAAATATTAAAAAAATGAATGCTTATTCATTGTATACTTCTATATATTCATTCTGTACTTGTTTACTATTCACAGAGGCAAGTCTAGAAGAAATGTTTTCTATGTCAGTGATTCTGGCATGTCTAAATCCCAGACTCAGCCCCACCTAGTTGAGCTCTTCTTTTTGGAATGCATTTAGCACCTGCCATGAGCCCCAGTACCTCCCCCCAGGTGTGACCAGCTTGTCTAGTTTATATTCTCCCTGAGTCCATACTCCAATTTGGTTCCCACCAACCTGCCAACCCCTTGACCTAGAACCAGCTCCTGCTGCTAAGGTTCCTTGTGTCCTCTGAGAGAAATGTTCCCCTCCTTGGGCAAGGACTCAGGCACCCACCAATGTCCAATCCATTCCCTCTGTCAGAGAGGAGCATAACTCTCCAGTCTCCACGTTAGAGGTGTTAACAGGAGTAGTATCTCCGCCCTTAATATGCCCATCTCCAGCTAACTATAGGAGAGCTCAAGGGCACCTTTTATGGCAGTGTATCAATGCCTCAAGAGAATCTCCTTGGGCCCTGCCGCTGATTCGCCTACAAGAACTACCTTGCGTTTTCTTATATCATTCCTTTGAGTCAGAACACATGCAAATTTCTGTTTCTCTGTTTGCTCCCACTTTGAACTATCCTAGCTGATTCTGAGAAGCCTTGGTACCAACTTTCTCCACCATTTTCTGCGTTCCAACAGTGCCCTCAGGTGGTAGGAATTACTGCAGTTAACAGAACAGCACTCACCCAGAACAGCTCCACCACCATCCAGCCTGTAGTGTTATCACGCAATCCAGCAGCAATGAGAAAGTTCATAGCCCCCCCCCCCCATTCTAGTTCCTCTGCTTCAGATGCAATTATATCAGGAAAATCTAAGCTTCCTGTTTGGGGGAAGAGAGAGGAGCTCTGGAGTGTCTTTCTGTTTGTGCCAGAAGGCGAGGAGTCTTTTAGAAGGGCAATCTGTTATTGCGCAATGTTTACATGGCCTTCTAGCAGCTTTTAGTAAGGTCTTTACTCAATGACCCCGCCCAGCATGAAATGCCACCAACAGTATTTGTAGGTTTCTGCCTGGAAAGGAAGGGACTGCTAGACTACATAGCAGAGCTCCTAACCCACCCACCAAGCTTTCTAAACTAATGATTTTTATCCAAAGCATAGAATTAAAGCTGGTAGTACACTCATACTGTCTAAGGGTTTCTGTTGCCAACTCTAATCCACTTTACCCTAGTTGGAGAAGTGGATATTTGGTATTCTGGTGAAACTCTAGGCAGTCGTGCCCTGACTTTAGATTGAGGCAGTCATCTATGAAGGAGCAGTGGGCAGTTTGTTCAGCAGTCCTGGCTTCCCAAGGTTAAATCATTGGATATGAATGCTGCTGACTTCCCTGAGGGATACCCTGTGACTCCAGTGGCCACTTCTGGGCATCTGGGCATTTAGGAGCACATCAATAACCTGCTATCCTCTGTCTCTCTGCCTCAGGGACTTCTAGTAGTTGGTCTCTTTTACCTGGAGTCCTAGGTAAAAGACCTGACCACCTTCTCAAAAGTCATTCCACTTTGGACCTCTGCTGCCAGCCTCACCTGGTCTTTATGTAGGGTGCCCCATACCTGTACCCTATCCCCACTCCAGGAGGTTTGGAGTATTATAGCCTGACAGGAAATATTCTCAGACCTAGAGGCTATCCCTAGAACTAGCCCTCATTGCAATTATGCCTAGAATCACTCTCATGTCGACACTGGTCTTGCCAGAAGCTTCCCAGGCCCTCTGCCCCTTGTACAGGAGTCCCAAGGGTCCTCCTCTGCCAAGGCAATCAAAGCCTCAGCGCTATCATCATCTATGAAGAAACCCACTGGCTTCTTCAACAAAACACTACCGTGATCCTCCCAAAGGGACAATGGAGGGGGATTCCTTGCCATTAGGGAAAGGAGTGCTGGACTCCCAGTCCTAGTTAACTCTTGTCCAAGATTCCCCTTCCCCAGGAGATTTTTCCGTAATTGCTACTGCAATTAGGTGGTTCTAGTTCCCTCCCCCTCCATTTCAAAGTCGGACACAACTCTTTCCTTCGTTTTCACTGTACTGCTGAGGATTAGACAGGAACTTTTTACAACAGCTTACCAATAATTGAGGAATAACAAATAGAAATACAGCACTGAACCCCAATCTGGAACTCTGAGGACGTGCCTGATACTTTAAACTGGGTGAGAGTGAAATGGACAAGATATCAATATTGTTCTTCACTATTAACTTGAACATATACTAATGCTGGCTTACATTCAATCACAGTTCTCTATCATCTCTTTGAACCTAACCATCATGGGTGGTAGCATCTTTTGGGAATTATTGACTCTTCCTTGTTAGAATAGAGCTGCCATCACAGCTAGACCTGGATTTAACAGAGAGCCCAGGGTATGCCCTCTATAGGCTGCTCATCGGTTGCAGGCTATGGAAGAGGAAATATCAGTTCAGTTTTAGAAAAGAATCCCTTTGCTGGGCATAGTGGTGCACTCCTGTAATCCCAGTGACTTGAGAGGCTGAGGCAGGAAGATTATAAATTTGAGACCAGCCTCTCAGCAACTTAGCAAGATCCTGACTCAAAAAAAAAAAAAAAAAGTCTGGAGATGTAGCTTGGTTCTTTACTAGGAAGAAAAGATTCCCTTTGTCCTAGACAAAATCTCTTCTAGAGTTCTTTTAGCTAAGATATTAGACATGTACTTATATACTATTCAGGAAGAGTTTGGGGGGTTTGGAAAAGAGCTGGAGCCCAGCTATCTGACACATTTCCCATGGATGCAGAGCCCTTCCATTTTTAGTTCAAAGTTATTCAGAGGAAAAAAGAAAGAAAATTAAAGCAGCAAATACCTTTCTATTCCTTATCACTCCTTTTGATTTTAAATTTCGAAGCTTTCCAACAGTAGTTTTTAAGTTAAGAGGAACAACTGAAAATGGTTTTAATTGTCTAGGTAATATCACTGCTGCTTGGACATCTGATTAAAAGCTTTTAAAATTAGTTTAATGAGAACATTTTTCTACTTAACATAACCCTCTTTTTTTTCACTTTAGTGGATGTTAAAACAATCTTTTATAGCAAAACAATTTTTAAATTGTATATTTTTATTAAAATACTTCAAAAGTTCAAATAAACATTTTAAAAGTAAAACATTTTAAAAGCAACTAGTCCATCACTTCTCACTCTCCTCAGATCCCCTCCCAAGAGGCAATCCTTTTTGGTATTATTGCTTATTCTGGTATTTGCAAGTCTAT